GAAAAGGCAAATGCATATGCAGCCCGGTCGCTGTCTGACGCAAAATGAAAATACGGCCAGATAGAGAAACAGCCATGGTGGTAGTCTTCGCTGTAAAGAAATTTCACAAAATGCTGTATAGAAGGAAGTTTATACTCCTTAATGACCATAAGCTACTCTTGACGATTTTCGGATCAAAGTCGGATATCCCTGTCTATATGGCAAACAGATTGCAGCGATGGGCTGCTACCTTACTCGGCTACGAGTTTACGGTGAAGCACATTTCTACAAAGGACCTTGGCCAAGCTGATGCACTTTCCCGGCTGTTGGAAAGCCAGCGGCGCCAGCAAGAAGAATCTATTGTTACAGCGACCTCTGGAGTCGGAAGTGAAGCAGGTGTTGTTGGAAACGTTCAGAGAGTTTCCGGTAACTTTTGAGATGACACGTGATACACCAGTGCGAGAGCGGTCAGATTTCATGCCATACAGTGGCCGAAGAACAAATTAGTTGGGGAATTGTAAAGTCCGTCCCGAAAATAGACGAACTATCCATCCTTAATCGTTGTTTACTTTTGGCGGAAAGAGTCGTTATTCCCAGGAAGCTTCGCCAAAGAATACTACGGCAATTTCATCGTGGACACCCCGGCATTACCAGAAGGAAAGTGACTATGTGGAGCTATGTCTACTGACCGAATATCGACTCGGAGTTGGAACAGCTAGCGAACTGGTGTCCGAAATGTGCACCTGTAAGCAAGGCACCAAGGAAAGCGGAATTGTCTCCTTGGTCATTGACAAGGAAACAGTGGGAGCGAGTACACGCGGACTTCTTTGGTCCAAGGAATGGACAACGGTATCTCATATTCGTTGATACCTTAAGCAAGCGGCAGGAAGTATTCTGCATGGAACGCACAGCAATTGGCGTACTGGGAACTTTTCGCCCAGCATGGAATACCAGACTCTGGTTAATGACAATGGCCGTCAGTTCGTATCTTTGCAGTTCGCCGAATACTGTACGCAGAACGGTAGCACACGCTTATGTTCGTCACCGTTCCACCCGCAGTCCAATGAGTAAGCTGAGCGCTTTTTTGATACAGATAGACGGAGGTTGCTGAAGATGATAGGGCAGGAACTACCCAAGAGATTTGGATTTTTTTCTACTACTATACAGATCAACTTTGAACCCCCAGGTACCAAAGCAGCTGTCCCCAGTAGAGGCGCTTATGGGTATAAAACTTCGTACACTGGACTCTGCTGTAACCGAAAAGTATCGCCCCACAAGAGAGGAACGAGAAAATGGAAAATTACTTCAATCAGCAGCTCAGAACGCAAGTACGTCTATTTCACTAAGGAAAGCGTGTTCCAAACAGGGACTATCACAACAGTGGACCACAAGCTCGATCGCTTGCAGACTTCGACAAGTGCTGTATAAAGTTTGAGTGGGGGCCATAATTTGGACGACACACAAAGCAGCCGTGGTCTACCAGCATTCAGATAAGTACCAGTACATGATCACTGTCATAGGATACTCCGCTGGACAATTTCGACATACACGTTGGAACTCCGGAGCAACCTAATGAGCCTTGCCGGGAATCACAAAAGGAACGAGCTTGCAGCCACGACGATGGACTGCTCGGAAACGGAGATCTGTGGTCAGAATGCAGCTGGAGCTCAGGTGGAAATCATACGTCACTTTTAGCGAGGGAGGTGTTGCAGGAGCCTGCACGTAGCAGCCTTCGAAGCCAGCTTTCTGTCTGAAGCAATCCGGAGAAGATCGGTCGTATGCCGCCTGTAGCTGATTGGCTAGCCAATGAGAGTAAGCCAATGGCATCGCATTACGTTGAAGTGTACCAATCAGAATGACCTGCTTTGAAGCTCTCCACTAAGCGCACTACTTAAACAGCCAACAAGCGCGTTTTCGCGCATCTAGTAGTTGCTATAGTCAGGAAGTTTCAAGTAGGTCATTCGTCACATGAACTATTTATTTTGACCCCAGATTTTGACGGTACATTCTGCCTTCTGGGTACTCCATGCCAGCTCCACCAGAGGTCTTTGTGCTTTGATTTGGTAAGTGGCTGTATCGAGACAAGAGTGGTCGCATCGGTTATACTTAAGGTCGACGGAAACACAGCATTTTGAATCCTGAGGTATCCGATGGATACGCACTACTGATGATGCCAAACAGGCTGTGACTGCAGTGTAGTGCATTTCCGGGCATGTGGATACCATCTGTTTGGCAATTTCTGCGACGATCCTTTCACCGAAAACCCTCAATTCAATATTTGATCAAAATATCCGCCCCGAGATTTTAAATGTAATATCGCATACAGCGAATGCTAGTGGATATCCTGTATTTCGGGGCCAATCCTGTCCCCTGCAACGTTAGTAAGTTGCACGGTAGTGGAGGATAAGACGTGTTATATTGCAGTTCATTTGCAAATGATGATACTGAGGAGCTGCCCCCGTGACGCAAGCTGTTGACTGGCGGTGCAAGCCGCTGGCCGTCATGGCTTGGAATCCTGACGGATCCGATGGACACGCAAAACTGACGATGCACAACAAGCTAAAATTCCGGTCTAATACTTTCCTGTCATGTAGACGATCATACGGTTTGGAATTGGCTGCGAGGAACCCTCAGTTAATTCTATAGAAATACCCCTAGTCGTGAGCATATACAAATATCCGCCCCAACCGTTTCTAAATGTCATGTCGCACATGGCCACGTTTGGCAGACGTCGTGTCTTTCGCAGTCAACACTGTCCTCTGTAACGTTCGTAACTTGTATGGCAGTGGAAGATAAGACGCGTTATAAAGCAGTTAGCTTGCACATCATGTCGGCCCGAAACTCTTACCAGTGGCCCAGTGACATAAGCTGCTGACTGGGGATGCAAGCCGCTGGTCGTCATTGTTTCGCATCCTGATGGATCCGCACTACTGATGATGCCCAACTGAGTAAAGCTGCAGTCTAATGCTTTTGCGGGCATGGGAACGACCATCTGAGTCGGAACTGCCTGCGTCGAACTATCACTTAGGTGTGATGCAGTATATCTGGACTTCTCAAAAGTCTTTGACTGTCTGAACCATCGTATCCTTCTTCACAAGCTGCAGTGTTGTGGAATTGGTGACCCAATCCTCGGTTGGATAGCTAACTTCTTGCTTCAACGACATCTGAATGTAAGAGTTCGCGGCGCCATCTCTGACCCAATCGACGTTAAGTGCGAAGTGCCCCAGGGCTCAGTACTTGGTCCACGACTATTGCTGATTTACATAAACGATCTCGCGACAGTAATCACCTCCAGCTCCCTACTCTTCGCTGATGATCTCAAGATATGGCGAGCCATTAGAACAACCAGCGACAATGCAGCACTTCAGGATGATCTTGACAGGGTCTACGAATGGTCGACTAAGAACCTGCTTCAGTTCGACTCTACGAAGTGCAAGATGTTGAGCATACGACATAAAGTCACTTGTGAATACAGACGGGGATCAAATATTGCAGCGCACTTCAACGGAATGCGATCTAGGCGTGATAGTGTTTGAAGATATGGGCTGTTCCCGTCAGGCCGAGAAAGCTTCCAAAAAAGGTAACCAACACATTGGCTTTTTGTGGAGGGCATTCGGGCGCTTTGATCCTTCCAGCTTTCCTCAGATGCTCAACGCTTACATTCGGCCTCATTCTGAGTACGCCATACATACATGGCCAAAGGCAAGATCTTACCGCTCTTGAACTGCCACAACGAATGGCGACCAAGAACGTAACGGACCTGTTTCATCTGCCTTACCGATTGAGGCTGAAAACCCTCGGGGTCTACAGTGGACAATATCGACGCCTGCGTGGCGAATTGGTAATGACATATGATCCTGAGAAATCCAAACGATTCTTGTAGTCCCCTACTAAAGCTGAATCACAATACAAGACTGAGAACACAAGCTGAAGCTGGCTACACAATACAGCCGGTTGGAATGCCGCCGGAATCTCTTTTCCCTTCGTGTGTACCAACACTGGAACGCTCTTCCCACATACGTAGTTTCTTCCCCCACGCTAACGGTAATCAAAAGGCGTCTGGGTGTTCCGCTTATCCACTTACATTACGCTATATAATCAGTGATGTCTACGTCAACTAAACGAGAACAAACGGTGCTCATTCTGTTTTTGTGCTTCACTACTTACAGGCTGCTGCCGTGGAATATCGTTGGGATATATTAAAACTACATTCATCAATTACATCAGTCCAAGAAAGCGTCGTTGTTTCTTTTTGTTCTTAAGACATACCTACAGTAAAAATTTAATATGCATTCTAAAATATTTAAATGAAGAAAGGCATCTGAATCGCTAGACGCTTAGATTGACGATTTACACTTATGTTTGCTTTCACTTCAACCATCCCACGGGAATTGTAAAACAATCGCCTTTTTACCTGTAATATATCATTGTTGATATCGAAAATCCCACATCATGAGAATCTTATCTTTTCTCTAACAGACCACCGGTTGGACAACACCACGGTGAGCGAACATATAGCAACTCAAGTTAGGACTGAACTGAGCTGGCGTATGCTGACCGCACAGTAACTGGCAGTCAACTCTTCTTTCGAAATCAGTGATGATCTTTTTCTCGGTTTTTCGCCTCTAACACTTATCTCATCCGGCTCTGTTCGGGTCACCGATGTCGTTTCGGCAAAATTTTAGTTTCCTTTTGGCGTATTTCCCAGATCCTTATCACCAAGGTCAGCTTAGTCCACTGAATTTAAATGGCCGGATCAAAGGATTAGTTTACTAGCCAAAACTGGCTGTCGCGTACCTATGCCGATCGATCGCGGCGCCTGTAGAGTAACGTGCCACAATCCTCGAGTAATACGCAAGCAGAGGGAAATTGTTGGACGTCGGGCACATACACTTTGCCAAGGATGCACAAACTACCGCATCGTTTCGTAGACAAGCTCCTAGGACACGTGCTGATACATGCAGTGACGCAAGGGATTGTCCCACAAAGTGAGGTTCGCAACACGAAGTGACAGGTACAATGAGACAACCGGGACAGAATGTATTTGCATAGATGAAAAATCAAGTACAACACAAAGAAGATGCAATCAATGGAAACGGACAGAAGAGGATCAATGAAAAAACGAAAAAAGAAATGGGCAACCGGAATCGAAGCGGGAGTGCAACGTAAATTTGCCGAAATGGGTTCAGATAATCGATGGAGCATGTGGATACTAATCAACGAGCCACTCGTTTCCGCGTTCGACGCAGTGATCGTTCCCGACGGAGCTGCAGGAAGAAAGAACAGGGAGTAAAGCGAAGTGAGACGCACGGGTGAATGAGACGATGCCGGAGTAATACAACGTGTGTCCAACAGCCAGGCACTGAAATGACTGGACCGCCCGCTAGAGCAGCATTAATGAGTGTCGACTAATGTTAGGTGTAGCTCGGAAGAAGCTCGCTGTGTTGAAAAAAGGGACCATGCGACAGCGATTTGTGGCATATAGATAAAAAGTCGATTAATATTCCCATTCAGAATTGAGCCTTCAAACACTGAGAACTGTCATCTTCCCGAATTCAGACACCGGGGGAGGAAAATGCCGTTGACTGTGCTTCGCTTCACTTCAATTCAGTTAAGCAACTGCAAGCCAATTGCCTTGATACACGTCACTGAAACAACGATACTAATTATGATTCAAAATGGAATTTAAATCGTCAGGTGGAACAAACGGAACAGTACCAACGGCTCCCTAGCCCAAGATAGCCGATAAGGTGCTCAATCATTGATGCAACTGGTGCTGAGGACTCTACCCGGGAAGACCACATGCATGTCCCAGCATTTTTGTAAGTTCCATCATGGTATTTTGCTACGTTCAACGACTGTTCGCCTCGGGATTTCACCCATCTAAACGCGGTGTTAGTAAACGATACACCCTGAGGTCGTCGGTTTGCAGGCATGTGGAGCATATGACCGGTCCACCGATGGTAATTCGAGTTTGTCAGACACTCCAGTGAGATACCGGAGCTTCGGCTGCTACACATCAAATGACCGAGTCTAGTGTTGATTCGGTGTTGCTCATCCCAACACTGACCAAATCTAGTGTTTTTCCTCAATGTCTCCAGTGGACATGATTGTGACGTCGCTCCCAAACTGTTCTAACCCAAGTAGGTAACGAGAACACCAAGATGAGAGGCGACAAAGTCCTATTCATCAGGACATGGCACTGTTAAACAGCAGGCGATCAGCAGTCAAGATCAACCAAAGCATTGAAAACACGGGACTGAGTCAGCCAATAACAGAGCAGTCACGTAAAGCATCAATCGAGACATAATCAATAGTGTCAATGTTAAAGAGGAAACCTTAGTAAGCCACCAGAAACAACGACTGTTTTTGATCAACCTAGAGAACGTTAAGATCCTAGCCCGTGGAAATTCGAGGCAAGCTAGAGAATTCTTGTACTCGCTTCGGCGGTACACATACTAAAATTGGAACGATACAGAGAAGATTAGCATGGCCCGTGCGCAAGGATGACATGCAAAATCGTGAAGCGTTCCATATTTTTTTGAACCAAGGCCAATCGGTCGACGTCATTTACATTGACTTCAGTAAGGCTTTCGACAAGGTTAACCATGCAGTGCTCCTTGACAAGCTGAGGATGTACGGTGTTGGTGGTTCGCTGCACAAATGGATCAGAAATTTCCTTGTTGATCGAAAGTGGAGGGTCCAGGTAGACAACCATCTAACTGACTGGTATCCATCGAGCAGCGGCGTGCCCCAAGGCACTGTACTGGGGCCGATATTGTTTCTGATCCATGTAAACGATGTGCCTCAGCTACTCCAATCGCCTTGTGCGTTGTTCGCAGATGACTTGAAGGTGTGGAAAATAATCCGCACACTCAACGATTGTGATTTAATTCGGCATGACCTCGACCGCCTCTCGACAGGGTCTGCAGAGGTTAACCTTCCGATCAACCCTGGTAAGTCGCAATTCATGAGGTTGGGTAAGTGTGAGCACACCCGAACGTACACAGTGACTGGTCAACCGTTGCATCCCGCGCCCTTCGTGCGTGACCTCGGTGTGCTCTCACGCTGCGACCTAAAGTCCATTGACAACAACAGTAGGCTGTACCAAAACAGCCTTCGGATGCTTTGTGCCCTCAGGCGCAGCTTCAGCAATTGGTCCGAAGAGATTGCTACTCGCCTCTTCGTCTCGATAATATGACCAATGCTAGAATACGGCTCTCCCGCGTATTGTCCCATCACGATGGGAGAGGTAAAAATGCTTGAGCGGGTGCAGCATGTAACCACCAGGCTGATTCCCAACTTACGAGGTATGCCATACGAAGACCGATGTAAGAAACTAGGGCTGTACACCTTAGCTTATCGTCGGCTGAGGGTTGACCTCATCATGACGCACCGGATATTACATCTGAGTGATTACCCCATGTTGAGACAACTGCTTCATCTGCGCACACCAAGCTGCACGCGAGGACACCGGTATAAACTTATCGTACCGAAGTTAAAGCGGGTCGCTCACCAACTCTGTTTCGAAAGCAGAGTAGTGAATGTCTGGAACGACCTGCCACAGCACATCGTAGAGGCGAACTCAGTGTCCGAATTTAAGAAGCTCCTAGACAAACACTTTGCAGAGACAAAATATAGAGAGCGTAACGATAAATAAGGAGTATATGTCCAAGAGCGACGAATGATGTAGCTACACAGAGAAAGCTCTACTCGCTGCTTCGAACCAGTACTCAGTATTCAATGTTCAATAAAACTGTCAAGACAAACGTCAAGGGATGCACACAACAAAAAGGAAAGTTTGCTGTTACGAGCTGACACAAAAAATGCATCTCTAACAATGAGCAATGTCGAGTAGGAATAGGTTAGTCTGGTAACACCACTTAAAAATACCGTCGGTGCGTAGCTGCTGGATCCTTGATGTAAACAAAAATGCTGGCAGCGCCGCGACACGGTACAACCTAGCCTAAACCGGTGAGCGTACATTCCCTCACTTCGATAAGTGGCTAACGCTTTGAAAAGTCAGACGAACAGTGGAAAGAAACACAGAGACTTCTTCAGAGTTATACAGCTATCTAGATAGAGACATCGACCGACAACTTCAGGAGGGGTCCTCATGACAGTGAGAACCGGTGGTGAGTCGGCCCAGTACTTTATTTGTACTTGCATGTGGAAGGTGAAGTGCCGATTTCAAAGTGTGCAGCGCTAAGCGTCAGCCCATTCAACAACGCCTGCATGGAAGTTGGTTTACGCGCAAGCAGAGCTATCTTGTCGGTGAACTTGGGCGTAGCATGCCCGACTAACACAAGTACAAGAACAATGCCGACCGTCCACTAAACAAGGAATCGGTAGTACACCGGCACAACGGACCGACGCTTCGTTGCCACGCGATCACCACCAGTCTCGTGTAGGCTTGGCATACCGCAGGGCCGTCCGTACCTATGGGTGTTCGAACCGGTGATCACCGGATTAAAAACCAAGTGTCGCCGACGTCTAGTTGGAGAAGAGTTGGCCACAAGTGGACAGCGGACGGCATTTAAAGATAAAAGGATAAAACGTAACCCAATCAGCCAACCAACCAAACGCTCCCAAGGGTCACCTGACAGTATTACCCTCCGGCATGGCGAAGCAAAGGAGATGCACTCAACTGTGGCCAACACCCACTGAACAATACCCTCTAACTGGTACAGACAACTTTCTTTGTTTGCAATCCGGAGGCAAACAGCGAATGCTGGTGAAAAGGATTAATTCATCTGAAGCACTTGTACGGCCGAAGGGTACGGTTTGTCTAAAAAGTAGTCTTACACAAAAACATCACAGTGAATGACACGTTGATGTCACAAGGAAATGACATGATCAATTCAAGGACAATAGGGACAATGGAATATGTGTGGTACACAGCAGTAGCAGCTGCAGATAGTGGGTTTAGCAGTGTATAAAGATAAATTGCATTTTAGGGAAGAAAGATACACGGGATCGGAGGTAAGTGAATTTGAATGTAACAAAAGTTGGTATATCATTTCTGGAAATAAACAGCCATTTCAAATGCAATGCAAGTATCAACCAGCCAAGGACAAGAAAAAGCATATCGTATTTCCATTGCGTGCCAAGCGATGCTACACACACACACACACACACACTGATTATACAGAACTGTTATACGATATCTAAACATCACAGTTAGGAAAATTGGAAGGCGCACGGACACTCACTCGGTCAAATTCTTTCATTCGTAGGCGATTCAGCTGGGCTTGGTTCACTCGCTGCTGTCGTTCGGACAGCACACGGTCCGGCTGGTTGGTTGGCTTGGTAGACGTTTGACGGGAAGAATGGTGTGATCTAGAGTGGGCTCGCTCTGCACCACGAGGTGCGCGAATTGTGCTTACACTTGGTCGTGCCCTGATTGCATCCAGTTCTTGCGTTGTGGACAGGCTAGCTGAATACGCCGCAGGGCCTACATAGGATTGTTCAACTCGGATCTGGTCGGAGAAACTGAAATGAAGATTGTGATATAGAACACGATCGGAAGTCGACTTCTGCTTGAGAATGAAACTGTAGATTTGTGCGTTGGGGGAAGGGGGACAAGAGCCGAAACTCATATCAATCCTGACATATAGAACGCTAGGAACCTGGGACTGACAACAGCTCCGCTGATCGCCGTTAGATTAATCCGACCCGAATTCAAGCTGACAACAAAACGGACATTTAAACAATGGGGCAGAATGCGCCATTCAACAACTGAGACTGTATTTAAGAGCAAGTACAAAGGTTTCTGTACAACTGTAACGAATTACGAAAAATCAAAAACATTTGGTTGTGAATCACCAGCAGTTGGGTCTGGTCCGTTAATCGTTTATCCTTGTTCCGTTAGGAATTCGTGTTAGTGTCATTATTTCCGGTCATACGATGTATTCTTTTGGCACTGTATGTGCATCGTTTCACAAAAGCACAGTTTTCCGAAACAATCGTCGATACGGGTTTTAAGACACTTCACAGAATCGGCCTGTATTAATCCTTCTGGTAGTGCATTCCATAAGTTTAAGATTCTTCGTTCTACACAAAGTTGATGTGATACTTTGTTCATGTGGGAGACCCTGAGTTTGTAACGGTGTACTCGGGTGTTACAGGGTTCCCGCAGGTAAAATATTGGCCGCAGTATGGGGAACTGATTTAAGTGTAGTACTCGATGGGTCATAATAAGGTCAATTCTTACTCGGCGATAGGATAATGTGTAGAGTCCGAGCTTTTCATAACGTTTTTCATACGGAAGCTTTCGTAGACTCGGTATCACTCCAGTTACGATATACTGTATTTTCTCCAGCTTTTCAGTTTCCCATTGCGTTATCGGATGGTAAGCTGGGGCACCGTATTCAAGGATTCGTCTAATGAACGAGGTGAATAGACGAGGGACGGTTTCTTCGGACCATGTGGAGAAACTGCGTCTTAATGCCCAGAACATACGAAGTCCCGCACGGTACAATTTCTCTGTATTTGCTAGTGATCTCATATCATGTCGTGAGAGAACTCCTAAGTCTTTGACAGATGTGTTGCGATGGAGCAGCTGGCCGTCCAAGGTGTATGATAGAGTGGCTGGACATCTGGTGATACTGATGAACTCCGACTTGCTTGCGTTAAGAGGGAGTTGCATTTCAGTGGACCACGTTGACAGTCGCTCTAAGTCATGCTGGAGGCGAGCGCAGTCGTCCTGGTTCTCAGTGATCCTCCAGATTTTCAAATCCTTTGCAAACAGGGCACATGGTGACTGGAGCTGCTGCGGAAGATCGTTGATATGAATAAGAAATAATACTGGTCCAAGTACAATTCCTTGAGGCAGGCCACTGGTCGATGGGAACCATTCTGTCAGATAGTCATTTATCTGTACTCTAAACTTTCGTCTCACAATAAACTCGTGTAACCACTGAAGTAACGTGCCACCGATTCCATATGTCCTCAGTTTACGAAGGAGTACCTTGTGATTCAGTCTGTCAGACGCCTTACCAAAGTCGATGTACACCACATCAACATCCTTCCGTTTGTTGAGAGCTCGTACCTACTGGTGGTTTGCGGACATCAAGTTGGTGATGCAGGATCGCCGTTTCGTAAAGCCGTGTTGCGCTGGCGTCAATACGTCCATCGATTCGAAGAACGATAGCAGTGTCAAAGTGCCGCCGGTAGGACGAATGCGGTACGGGTAGGGAGGTTAGTGAACTCAGTAAACCAAGCCATATCTTTCCGAATGTATGTGACCATGGTCTCGTTGGAACGACTGGACCTTAGCGACGTGCGAAGGTTTGCGTGTCTCAATGATCCACTGAGCTGAGCTGGGTGGTGTATCTTGCCACTTCAGTTACTAATAAATGACAAGTTAATGACAACAGACTAGGCAAACTCAGTCTCTTGATCATCCAAGTTGGGTGTTAGAGTGTAGTTGAATATGTACTCCATAAAACGAACTCATTGTAGCCCAGTACCAAAACTCCGCAGCCTTGCGGTCAGGTGTTTGAATAAAAGCCTTTGGTTGAGTATTCTAATCGTCCTACTGTCTAGCCCTACGTAATCTGACAGCATTCTGCTAACGCATTACAATGACAGTCGTAAAGAAAAAGCAACGCACCATAGCTGATGCATCGAAAAAAGTGGATATAAGGGGTGAGGACGCTACTGCTTAGGCCTTCCCGTCTGCTTACCACTTCTCTTGCGCAGTCATCGTCATCGTCCCCTTCCAAATGCATTTGCTTGCGCACAATCTGCTCCAACTACAGAGGCATAAGCTTAGTCCTCGTCGTTTGCAAGCTGCTGGTGTCCATCAAACTTCGCAGGCTATCCCCAACACGTGAATCGTTGCAACGAGAAGAACAAGCTGGGTTTCGCCCTGGTCGCGGCTGTATCGATCAAATCTTCACACTCCACCAGATCCTCTAGCTCCGGCATGTGTATCAGAGGCCAAAGATTGCTGTGTTCCTGGATATCCGTGCAGTCTTCGATTCTGTCGATCGTACGGTACTGTGGCACTGCCTACTGAGGAAGTGCGTCCCCGAGAAGTTCGTCTCCATACTACGCGCCCTCTATAGTCTGACCTCGGACAGGGTTAGAGCTTATGGCAAGCTTTCGCCTATCTTTGTGGTCTCCAGTGGAGTTAGACAAGGATGCCCTATCTCTCCGTTCCTATTCAACCTTGCCATTGAGGATGTCCTGAAAAACGCTATGGGCGATTCGTTGAACGCTGGGGTTGAGCTCCTTCCAGGTAGTCGAGTTGTTGATTTGGATTATACTGATGATATTGTCTTGTTAGGTGACGATCCACACGTCGTCCCACTTGCATTAAACCGCTTGGCGATTGAAGCATCAAAGTACGGCATGTACTTTTCGCCATTCAAATGCAAGGCTCTCTCCCAAGACCGGCAGGTGCCTCTGCCTGCACTCACTCTTGGTGGTGAGACATTAGAGGTTGTGGAGAGCTTTGTCTACTTGGGAAGTTGCATCACTGCTGGCGGGGCTGTTGGAGACGAGATTTCGATGCGCATCTCGAGAGCACGCCTCGCTTTTTCTAGGCTGAGGCACCTGTGGCGTCGCCACAACATTCGTCTCTCAATCAAAGGGCGGGTCTATTGTGCAACTGTTCGTGCTGTACTGTTGTACGGATGCAAAACCTGGCCAATTCGCAAAGATGACTTGCGCAGGCTATCAGTCTTCCAACACCGCTGTCTGCGATCCATTGCCAGTGTGTGGTGGCAGCATCACGTAAGCAATGGGGAATTTAGATAGCATGTCTTGGGACGAGAAAGCCACTCGCTCGGGGAGCTCGTCTCACTGCATCAACTGCGGTGGTTGGGACACGCATTGCGCATGCCTATCCAGCGTTACCCGCGTCGTGCGTTGTTTGCGGTTGCTGGACAGGGCTGGAGTAGACGGTCTGGTGGAGAGCCTAAAACATGAAGAAGCCGCATGAAAAAGCTGACGAAACAGTTGGCCTCGGCCGGTTGTTGTCCACTACCTGGTTGGGGTCCGAGAGATGCGGATACTTGCTGGCTGAAGACCTTGGAAGCCATGGCTCAAGACCGAGGTCAATGACAGACGTGTGCATCGGTGTGTTGCGGTGTCCCTTCTTCCTCCAATTAAAAAAGCAAACTGAAAAAATTTCGAAAAACTGTGAGTGGTAAACTAGATAAAAGAAAGTTTTTGTTGTTGTTGCTCTTTTCTTATTATCTATACTGTCTTCCTATTCAGCCATGATACCGATGGCACAATATCTGTACCACAGATTATATATATATATATATATATATATATATATATATATATATATATATATATATATATATATTCGAATGTCCAATTCTGAGTCTTCTGCAATCTTGTTTCGACGGTCGCTTGTCTTCCAGTCTCAACGCACACACTATCGCAAGAGATGGCACTGCGGTCCAGTGGACAAGTCCATGTTCAACCCAGCAGACAATGTCAGCTCATCCACTGCTAGTTGGACCCGTAGATTCTCTTCTAAAAGTTGCATGTCTCAACGTGTGCACTTTGTTGGAGATTGGTCGACAGGCAGCACTTACACGACCAATAGAGACCCTATCGATCGATAGCCACTGCGTACTGGTAACTCGGCCTGTCATGTGACGCAAAGCGTACTTTCTCACAGCATCTACCCAAAGCAAAAACAGCTTCGAATGCCGTTTAAGCCGCTGTGGGCATCGCTCTGAGTTACCGGTATGACTCGATGAAAAAGTTCTATCACCAATTGAACGAGCCCGTTTTTGTCACAGCAGAATTACGGATATGGTAGCTCCGGACGGATATATGAACGCCTAAGTTGGGAAACTGTCCACACAGATGTGCTGCCAACACGGTGTAAGCTTCAGTATTGATAACGATAAGCGGTTACTCTACCTATGCGAATATGATATCTATTTCTATTGATCAATAACTCCCGACGCATCATCATCATGATACACGTTAGCTGCAGATGGAAAACACCTCAGCTATTGTGCCGCAATACGAAAGACAAGAAAAAATTAGTGGCACGCCGGCTGAGTTCCCATTAACGGAGGGACAGTGCTCCGGAGAGCTAACAGCCGACTAACGTGCCGAAAAAAGAGTTATGTTAAGCCTAACGAATGCGATCGTCATTGGATGGGGAGGCTAAGCAGGAGGAGGATGGACAACGAACTCACAGAATAAACGCAACTGGGGTCGGCTCTAAGCCATATCAGCAAGTGTGTCCAACCAAACATGTTCATCATCCTTAGGACCCCAGCCAGGCAGTCGCGATGCACCAACCGACGCCAACTTCGAAGTGAGGGTTTTCATCTCACTCGACCAAGTCATCACTTGGCCTCCCCTCCTCCTCTTCCAAACGCACCCACAACGCGCAAACAATGCACGTCGCGGAAGTCGGTACGTTGGCATGCGCAACACGTCGCCCAACCATCGGAGCCCGATGCGTGATATAATGGTGCTGAACGGTTCACTCGCTCTTCCTGCACCAA